ATAAATCATCTACAACTGCACACAACAATATGGATGAATCTTGTAAACACAAGGTTGAGTGACAAAACGCCAAAACCAAAAGAGGACAGACACCCTGTATGATTCCACTAACACAAAGTATGAAAACAGGCAAAATTCATCCACACTATTAGAAGAAGTCAGGATAACAGTGGAGGGAGTGACTGGATGGGAATTCAAGGGGGGTTTGATCCTGGGCTTCCAATTACCCTGGTGTGTTCAGTTTGTTAAAATTATACAAATTTTAACTACAGGATCACTATATGTGCACTTTTCTATATGCATACTAGACTTCAATAAAAAAGCTTTCATTTTAAGCGTACAGTGCCAAGAAATGGAAAGTGCTACTTTTTGTTTTGGTTGTTTAGAGGTGAGGAGCTAAAAACAGAGGCTAGGTGCCTGTCTTCCAGTGGGCAGATAAACAGGGCTGAGAGAAAAAACCCCAATTTTAGGAGATTAGAGAAGAGTCTGCAGCCCCAGGTTGTGGCCTAATAGCTGGCTGTGCACCACCCGCTTCTCAGACAGTCGCCTCCCAAGATACAGGGCCTGGGGAGGGGACAAGAGGCTGGAAGACAGGCTGACATCCCCCACTAACTTCGAGGGACGGTCCAGCCTCCCCCATACTCTGCCATCCACAGCAGAACTTTCATTTGTGGGAATTCCCTGGTGGTCTAGTGGGTTAGGACTCCACCCTCTCACTGCTGAGGGCGTGGGTTCAATCCCTGGTCGGGGAACTAAGATTCCGCAAGACATGTGGCATGGCCAAAAACAAAAAAGGAATCTCATTTGTGTTAGGGACATGGTTACGTCACCCAGCAACCCTGGGGAGTCACTCCTTCCCCACTCTCAGTCCACATGGTTCAGCTAGGCTGGGTGTGGGGTTTTGCTCCCCATTTTAGCTGCCATGTGGGGAGAAACTTGCCAGAGAATGAAGCAGAAAGAGGAAGCAAAAAAAAAGGGAAGCAAAAATGAAAAGTAGGAGCCAAGATCTTGAGATCTTCTTGGAGCACCTGGATCTAGAAATGCCCAAGGTCACATCCTGAACTTATTACGTAAACCGCTGAATTCTGTTTTGCTTAGGGCAAATTGAGTTACATTTGTCACTTATGTCACTATGACAAATCTTCCCCTTCGCCACTCTCCAGAAGCCTGTGTGCACTCTCAGTGGGAATAATCCTACCCGCTGCTAACTGCCATTACAGGCATCCCTCACAGTGCTATACCTTTACAAAGCACTTTCATATTCACCAATCCGTTCGATCATTACAGAAATGCCAAGAGACCATTCCCACTTTTTTGGGGGGTTTTTTGGCCGCATTGTGCGACATGCGGGATCTTAGTTAGTTCCCCGACCAGGGATTGAACCCGTGCCCCCTGCACTGGGAGCAAGGAGTCTTAACCACTGGACCACCAGGGAAGTCTCACTATTCCCGCTTTCTTTGCCATCCTAGACTTTTCTGAGAGCTGGCAAGGACGTCAGGACCATCTAATTGAATCCTCTCGCTCTCACAATGAGAAGAATGAGGCTCAAGGAAAGAGGCAGCCTGGATACAACCAGAGAATAACAAAACTACAAAGGGCTTGAAAATTCTTCAAAAGCGCAAGGGCAACATTACTGAGACTGTGATGTTCCCTGATCCCCAGATTTGAGAATCTGGCTTTAATCCTTGTCCATAAAGAGAACTTCATCGGATCCACATCCTGCCATTAGAATAATAATGGGGACCATTTCATCATCCGCCATAATGCTAAGCATTCATTCATTCTCTTACAGGATCCTTCTTTGAGGCAGGTTCTGCTCTTAGCTCCATTTTGCAGCTGAGGAGTAGCTTGCCCCAAATCACTCAGCCAAGTAGCAGAGCTGAGTCCCAACAACAAAGGCTGGGGGTGGGTTGAGGCACCGGAGAGAGTCACCTGTGCCAAGATTTGATTTACGGGGTCCATCATCCCATCTTCTGCTCACTGCTGGAAGGCTGCCTCCTTCTGTTCTGATGTCCACTTCCTTCAGCATTTCTAGAATCCAGCTTTAAAAAAAAAAATCTATCTCCTGAGCAAGCCCTCACCAGTTAACTGAGATCCTTCTGTCAACAGCAGCACCTCCTTATAGCCAACTGGTCCTCCTTCTTTTTCTTTTTTTCCACCACATGTCATGCGGGATCTTAGTTCCTCAAACCAGGGATGGAACACGCGCCCGCTGCAGTGGAAGTGCTGAGTCTTAATCACTGGACCGCCAAGGAAGTCCCTGGTTCTCCCTTCTGAGTTAACATATCTCTGGGTCAATAATTCAGGCTGGGGACTTCCCTGGTGGTGCAGTGGTTAAGAATCCACCTGCCAATGCAGGGGACATGGGTTCGAGCCCTGATCCGGGAAGATCCCACACGCCGCGGAGCAACTGAGCCCATGCACCACAACTACTGAGCCTGCGCGCTAGAGCCCGCAAGCCACAACTACTGAGCCCGTGTGCCACAACTACCAAAGCCTGCACACCTAGAGCCCATGCTCCGCAACAAGAGAAGCCACTGCAATGAGAAGCCCACGCACCGCAACGAAGAGTAGCCCCCACTCGCAGCAACAAGAGAAAGCTGCGGGCAGCAACAAAGACCCAACACAGCCAAAAATTAATTAATTAATTTTAAAAATAATAATAATAATTCAGGCTGGATCTCTGCACACCCACTGGTCAGTTGCCTTCATTCTCCATACAACCACAAGAATCAGCTTTTATAGAACTTAAATCAGATCACATTACTTCACACCCACCAGGCAGGGCTTCCCTGGTGGCGCAGTGGTTGGGAGTCTGCCTGCCGATGCAGGGGACACGTGTTCAGGCCCTGGTCCGGGAGGATCCCACATGCCGCAGAGCGACTGGGCCCGTGAGCCATGGCCGCTGAGCCTGCGCGTCCGGAGCCTGTGCTCCGCAACGGGAGAGGCCACAACAGTGAGAGGCCCACGTTGGAGTGTAACATTTAAAATTGTATACAAATAAAAGATAAAAATAATTTTAAGAAATTCAAAAGCATTCCTAGCTTTTTGTTAAAAAAAAAAAAAAAGACAGACAAACACACACACACACACACACACACACACACACACACACACACACACGACAGACAATAACAAGTGTGGGTAAAGATGTAGAGAAATTAGAACCCTCGTATGTTGCTAATGGGAATTTAAAATGGCGCAGCTACTTTGGTAACTGCCAGAGATTAAATGTAGTTACCCTATGACCCAACAATTCCCTTCCTACATATATACCCCAAAGAAGTGAATATGTATGTTCACACTAAAACTTGTACATGAATAGTCACAGCAGCATTACTCATAATACCCAAGAAGTAGAAACAACTAAAATGTTCATCAACAGACGAATGGGTAAACAAAACGTGGTCTATCCATATAATGGGATACTGTTCAGCCTTAAAAAGTAATAAAGTACTGAGACTTGTTACAACATAGATGAACCTCGAAAACATGAGGCCAAGTGAAAGAAGCCACACACAAAGGACCACATATTATGATTCCAATTATATGGAATATCCAGAAGAGACAAACCCACAGAGGCAAAAAGCAGATTGGCTGTCAGGGGATGGAAGGACAGGGGAACTGGGAGGTACAGGGCTTACTTTGGGGGTGATGAAAATGTTCTGGAATTAGTTAGTGGTAATGGTTGCACAACATTGTGAATATATTAGGAACCACTGGGGAATTCCCTGGCGGTCCAGTGGTTAGGACTCAGCACTTTCACTGCTGTGGCCCAGGTTCAATCTCTGGTCAGGGAACTAAGGTCCTGCAAGCCACGCAACGTGGCCAAAAAGAACCACTGAATTGCACACTTTAAAATGGTTAGATGGTGAATTTTATGGTATATGAATTCTATCTCAATTTTTAAAATATTTTTAATTTCCCCCTCCCAAGAAAATAATCAGATCACAAAGCTACCGCCTCACCACACTTTAAAACTCCCCAGTGGCCTCCCATCACCCCAGCAGTTAAACCCAAATTCCCCACCAGGGCCTAGAAGGTCCTACGTGGGCCTGGCCCTGCAGCTTCTCCCACCTCTCCTACTACTTGCCCCACTCACTCCTTCCATTCCTCCCCCACCCTTTGCCCTTGTTCATTCCTCCATCTGGAATGTTCTTTCCCACAGCTGGCTCCTCATCAGTCAGGTCTCTGTCCAAACGTCCTCATCACCTCCACCCAGAGGCCCTCCCTCACCACCCTACACCTAAAACAAAACACAGCTCCAGCAAGCTCCATCCCATTACCCTGCTTTACTTCTTCATATCCCTTATCACCCTCTGAAAAGACGTAAATTTTTTAAAACTATTTATTTCTTTGTTGCCTGTCACTCCAACCAAGAGGGCAGGGATCTTGTCTGTCCTGCTCACAGCTCTGAATTAGCCTACCACGTAGGAGCTACTTGAGAAACACTTCTGGAAAGAATGGATGTATTGACCAACTTCCTGTAAAATCTGAAAGGCAGCCCACCACCTGGTCAGGACTCCGAGGCGCTCAGTGAGTCCAGCCGAGCTCTGTAGGTGCTCAGCGCCAAGCCCTGCTCTAGGCCTGTCTGGAACCCTGAAGAAGCAGGAAGAATGATCCCTCCCCTTGAAAGTTCTGAAAGTCTTTCAGGGGTCACACAGCACCCAGTGTTTACCCAGCAACCCACAAACAAACGCAAAGGAGAGATCTAAGATTGCCTTGATGACACCCAAGCTGGAGGCTAGGGTCCAAATCAGCCTCATAAAACTGCACTGGCAAACACCCTCTAACACAGCTTCTTACGGCTTTGCAATCTGACCAGTTCTCCAGAATGAGATGGTTGCAGCTCACACCTGCTCCTGCCTCCTCGCATGGGGACTTTCCTTTCAGAGGCAGCTAAATATCCAAAGAGGCAGGTGGTACAGGCCTCGTCCCCCGCCACTACCACGCCCCCGCAATTCAGCATCTCTGGGCCACGCACACACACAGCAACTTACCCACTAGGAGTTTGACATCTCGGACTGTGAAATCAGGGTCAGGCATCCTCGAAAAAGAGGAACACAGACATTTGATGAGAAGAAATAACAGGGTTAGACCCAACAATGGGGGCAGAGGGAGGCCATTTTTCCAAGAGAGTTGCCTGGTTCTCATGCTGGGAATCCAAAATGGGATAACTCAGCGGGAGGGTCACCCCCCAAACCAGTCAGCTGCTTCCTCACCTCAACGGCAAACCAAACCCTCACTCTCCCTGACACCTGAACTCAGCATAGCTACAGAGAAGAGGATGGACATCCACTGTCCCCCTGCCACTTATCCAGGGAAGACTGAAGTGTACTGTCAAGGTAAGCGCCAGAGTTGGGCATTCAAACACTTGCTTTCTTTTAGGGTGGGTAGCCCTCTCTGTGGCTCCTCTTCTAGACAATACTCTCCATAGGAGTTGTATGGAGGGTGGGAGGGACCCCTTTTAAGTTTAGAGGAAAAAAAATATATCGTACCAATTCCAGGGATTTGGTGACACTGGCTATGATGACTGTGATGAGGTTCACTATTAATTAATAGTGATGCCAAAGGTTTAATTTCTGTTGGTAGGAATGACTGGCAGTAGATGCTGTGGAGGGAGGGAGACTGTGATGAAGCCCTCAGCTTCCTCCCCGACCCCTGCCCAAGGGGTGGAAACCTGTTCTTCCAGCCAGCCTCCGGATGGAAGCTCTGAAGAGAATGTAAACCAGACAAGACACCACGGGAGGCAGGTGCTGGGGCACAAGCCGAAAGGGGAGACGAGGGCCTAGCATCCTAGGAAACACACCCTCCACAGAAAAGGGCCAGTTTCCCACACAGTGCAAGTCTGAGTAGAAAATATGCATGTAGGTATCCTGCCTCTGGGCCCAGAAGCTGGCCAATCCCTTTGCAGCTCAGGCCCTGCCTCAGTTTCCTGATTCAGGGGGAGGACACAATTCTCTTCAGAAAGTCACTGCGTGTAACTGGGGTGGGTCAGGGGAAAAAGTCCACGCTGTTTAAGTACCCTGTGACCTCTCCATCCAAATTCTCTGAAAACCCAGACTCATCTTTAAAGAGTTTTTCCCCTCTGTCAGGCCTTGAACAAGGAGATACAATCCCCAAATAATGAAGAAAAATCCTTCTCAGTGATGAGAGGTAAGGAAAAGGGTGGAAGAAATCCATCCCAAGCTACAAACTGTGTTAGGGAAGGAGACAGGGGAAGAAGCAATTGGTTTCAGCAACTTACTTAATTCCCAGGCCATCCTTTTCTCGAAATATCAGGGGAACTCTGAGAGCTTCTCTCTGCACGTACTCATAGTTGAAATCTGTTTGGAGATTGGAATTGAAACAGGTTGGTTAAGTCATGAAGGAGCAAATGAACCATGATCCATTGGTTAGGGGAAGAAAAACGATGGAGGAAGGGGCAGGGGTTATACTAGATGCAGGCACCAGCTCAAAGGGCAAGAGCTCCCTAGAAAATGACAAGGAAATGGATTAGGCAAAGCCCAAGAGAAGCCATGCCAACTATCAGCTCCTCTGCCTCTCAGTCATTGCCTGCATGCCCCACGGGTCAGAACCTGTCAATGAACAGCCCAAGGCTGGAGAGGACTGGGGAGGGAGCCTCATGAAAGAGCCCCACACAGCCCAGTTATCACTGCAAGAGAGGGACGGATGGAGAAACACATCCCAAGCTGAGCTCAGAAAGTAAAGGAACTGCAAAATTGAAGAATGCCACCTGGGAGGATCTGAAGCCCCAGAGAGGAGGCTGGGAGGAGGGTTCTCATTGTAGCTGAGCATCAGGGAAGATCTTATTGTAATATCCTGCATGGTGAAGGGGAGGGGGGAAAAGCCGGTTTCCCTGGAAACTGTGTATCTGGTGCCAAAATAACTAGGGAACTGGGCACAGCTTTGCTGTCTTAAGAGTGAAATTCTGCTGCAGCCATCAGAACACTTGCTTCAGCTGGATAACCAAGAGGGATGCTCCCCAGGTGAAGACTGTGTGAAGGGGACAGAGTGAGGCCTGAAGAAAATTCACCGCGTAGTTTTCCTGTCTGACTGACGCTTGTCTAGTGTAGACCCCCAACATCCTTATCGAAAGCCCTAGAGCACGAAGGAAGCCTTAGCTTCCACCCTCCTGAGTTCCAAAAGTAGGGGATCTGACCCATCCATATCCCTAAATATGGAGGTGAGGGAGGCGGAGATAAATCCTCATATCCCCAAATCCTCAGGTAACTGAAGCAATTCACAAAGGCACAAGCCCTCCCTGGCCAGTCAGAAGGGAGATAGAGGAGATCCCAGGTCACTGAAGCCCCTGCCCCAGGGCACAGTTCACTAGGGCAGCTTGGGGGAGTGGGGGTAGGGAGAGGCCAAGGCAACTCTGCTCAGAGGAGAGAGAACAAAACCAGAGCTGGGGAAAGTCCTGACCTTAGCAGCTCAGATCCCCGGGAGCTCCCAGTGAATGGGGATTCCTAAGGATTTAAAGGCAGAGAAGTTTAAGAAGCTTCTATTTTGAATCCAGGCTAAGGGCTCCTTCTGTTTCTCAGCTCCTCCCTCGAGTTTTGGGGCAAGATCTGAATTAACAAGCAAAAACCCTAGAGCCCTCTCCCTTGAAAGGAGCCTGGACAGCAGATTTAAGGGCTCTCCCTCGCTGGAAAGCCCCAGCGCACCCCATACTCACACACCCAGAGTCCACCCCCAGGGTCAGCTTCAACTTCCTCAAATGAGCCTGAGAAAACACTGAGATCCTGGGCAGAGAATTCCTCACCAATGACCAGGAAGAGTTGCATACTGCTTTCTCCTTCGATCCGCCAAACAACTCAAGAAAAATGGGGAAGGAGAGGAATTAAAATCCCATTTGTGCTAAGGAAATTTAAATGTAGTTGAGACTAGACCCCTGAACTGTCTGGCCTCTGGGTGCAATGCTCTTAAGACCTGGCAGGCTGGAAGAAATTTCTTCTTCCCTCCCCTCACGACTACCCCCTACCACCCTACCACCGAAGCCCGGCACTCCAGGAAGCAATGGGCACAAAAGAGAAACTTCAAAAATGCAAAGCTAGGCGGTCTCTCCTAGGGGCTAACCCCATAGCCCTAGCCACTCAACCGGAACCTGGAGGCGGGAGGCGCTTCCCAGTTATCAGCTCACTGAGGGATGGGAGGGTTTTCCAAGGGGGAAGGGGATAAACAAAATGGGAACAGAGTAACGTAAAGGAAACCCAAATGTCTGAGGGGCAAAAATGAACTTACAAACCCCAGAAGGGCATAGGGAGATGCCTAAGTAGGCAGGGCAAATCCAAAACCCCAGGCCCACAGGCCAAACCAGGGGCCTTGCAGGCCTTAGACCCAAGCCAGACAGAGCATAAACTCAAAGTCTGGAAGACACTCCCAGACACTTTGCTAGTACCAGGGTCAGGGAGATAGGCCCTGAAGGTCTCAGGCTAGGGTGACATTCCCAAAGCCCAGAGGCTTCTCCAACTTCTGCTCTAAACTGGCAGGGCCCACAAGAGGGACAGAGCTCTCAAGGCCTCAGCCCTGGGAAGAGACCCTGTTTCCCAGGGGGGTGCCCCAAGTCTTCACCTCAAACTGCCACGGGGCAGCCTGAAGCCTGATGGGGGGATAAACCCCTTACCCACAGTCCCCACTTCAAGCATCAGGGCTGCAGGGTTAGAGACCTCAGGCTTAAGCGGGGGCCAGCCAACAACTCCGGGTCACCCACCCTGCTCCCATCTAGCAGGGCTCACAAGGTGATGGAGCTCAGCACACCCCAGGCCTGAGGAGGTGTCACTAAGTGACCGGGGGCGTCGTCCCCAGCGCCAGGTCCCAACTGGCAGGGCCCGAAATGTCACGGGGTTCGGGAGGCTACAGGCCTGCGGGTCCCCCACCCCAATACCCCTGGGGTGCCCCAGCCCCGCTCCAGCCCATCGGCTGCACCTCGTGCAGCGCAAGGAGCTGGGCCGGCTCCGGGAGGGGCAGAACGCGGCGCACCCGCCCTCCATCTGTCCGCCCGTCGGTCCCTCAGTCCGCCGGCCCCCCCGGCTCTACCCACCCTGGGGCTGGTGGTGGGCGCGGGCCGGGCCTAGGCCCACGCCCGGCCCCGGCTCCCGCCTGCCCTCCTCCCTCGCCACCCAGCCCCCCCCCACCCCCCCACCCCCCAGTGCTCGGCCTCGTTTCGTCACCGGATCCCCTGGAATGGGGGACGCGGGCGCGAAATACGAACCCGGCCACCGGCAGCTCCCTCCCCACGTGCGCTCGGGCCGCGCCGCGGCGGGCCGCCCGAGGGGGCGCCTCACCCTTGCCCTCCAGGGCGTGCACGAAGTCCCCCCGGTAGAGCTGGCTGCGCAGCTTCTCCTCCAGGCTGAAGCCGCGGGCGCTGACGATCTCCTCCACGTCCGACAAGTCCTCGTTCTCGTCGTATCTCTGGCGGTCAATCGGGCGCTGCAGGGACCCAAACCAGAGAGCCCGGGACATTACTGGTGGAAGTGGGGGGCGCCTCTCACCCTGGGCCCGGCTCGAACAGGTGCAGGAGCCGCGCGCCCCCTGCACCCCACCGCTGCGACCGGAGCAACTTTGCGCAAAAGCCAAAGATGCTGAAAATGGGCATAATGAGAGGGGCCAGCGCCCCCAGGGTCAAGCTGCGCCCTAAACAGGGCACTCCCCTCCTGCATCTTTGGAGGCCATGGAAGGGACATCTGGGGGAGTCTCCCTTGCCCCCCACCCCCGAGAGGTGTTAGGTTTTGCCCACTCGGCCGGGAGCCTGGTTATGTAACCCGCGAGGGGGGCTCGGCGCACGGGCTGGCGGGGCATTTGTAGGCCCCGGGAGGAGCCGCCGCAGCGCCCGGCTCGGCGCTAACAGCAGCCCTGGCGGCCGCAGCGGCAGAGCCGGGAAGCCGGAACCGGGGGCCGGCGGCATTTCTAAGACTGGAGCCGCCCCCGAGCTACGGGGGAAGCTGGAAAGCTGAAATGGAAGGGCTGAGACCCCAGCCGCCCCCGCCGACCGACCGCCAGTGCAAGAAGAAGAGATGGGAGGGGGGGGTTCGGGGCTTGGAAGGGGGAGAGGCAGACGGGCCGCCACAAAACACCCC